TTTACGTTTAATAGAGTAGAACGTATCTTCGATACCGCTTTGTCTCAAGTTTTATACGAATAATCGTCCCGTATGTTGCAATTTTCTCGGTGCAGACCTGCAAAATGCAATAGGACGAACCACGATTTTTTACGAGCACCGTCTCGCAGCTTGATTTTGCGACGATTTTTGTCGACGAGGAACGCGTAAAAAATATACCTGACTTTTATCGTCCGGACCATTCTATGCGTGGGTCGCCTCGATTTTGGCTTCTCGCGTTTGAACTCCCGTTAAAAAGGTGCTTGAACTTTTAATGTTCTATGCCACTTCTTTCGCTGGACACAAACTCGTTTTCGTCTCGATGCGAGCAGAGGTCTGGCTCGATTCGGTATAATTGCAAAAAATTGCCTCGACGATTTGAACGTTCTTCCAAACAAAATGGCTTTTTCTCTCGAGATCTGAATATCCGTTAATTGCTTGTCTATTGAAATTATTTATCTGTATTAAGATCATCGATTCTTTTTCGGTTCTAACCGCCATCTCCTTTCTGGGGCAACTTTTCTAGGTTTTGAAAACATAAATGTCTAAGATAAGGTCAAAAGTAATTGCGTTGGTAAAAGTTAAGTAGAAATCGATAAAAAAGATATATAACAAAGAAACGTGGAAGAAAAAAGGGAGGAGAAAACTGTACATGGTATCGCAGGAGTATTAAACCAACGGAAAGGGAACGAATCGAATTTAACAAACAAGACGCGACCCATTCAATTTCAAAATGAAATTCCTTCCGCCAAGACAAAAGAGAGGTCCAAGATGAAGATTAAGATCGACGAAACGGGCTCGAGTGGATCGCGACGTGGTCATTTGTTCGACGCTCGTGCGACAACAAGAATAACATGAGACTGTTCGGGAAAAAATTCACGGAGTTATCGCGGTATTTACTTTGCTGAAAACCGGTCGGCTTGGATCGTTTTCTGTTTGAAGAACGACTACGTTCGATAAAACGATCGCTCTGGCCGCGGTAGATCGCTCGTCTTCCAGAGACGCCTCGACACTCGACTAAAACAGACGTTGATACTGCCAAGCGTCGATTGGCATGTCGGAATTACTTCGGACGTGAACTGTAATTACCAGATATCGATTGAATCATCAAACGTGAATAACGTGTTGCTAAAAAAAAGTTCGATTTAACCTGCGTTATTTGCAGCATAGTAAGCGAAACATCGAAACCTCTTAAACGATACCGATCGTTTCCAACAAAGTATCAGCTAATTCGGAAAATTTATTCTCGACGAATTTATTATCCGAAATATCGTTAGAAACTTTTGGGGTGACGTAATGAAATAAGATTAACTACGTTTAATTGTTTACAGGTACGAAAATGTCATCGGGAAATAATTTTCTAACGCTTTCCTTGTTACTCGTGGTTCTCGTTTACACGACAGGTAAACACGCTATTTGTTTCGAATAACAAATCGATAATGACAATTGATAATACTGAAAACAAACTTCTAACGTTCGACCACTTAAACGGGAAGTGAAATAGATAACACTATTTGGAAAAGTTTCAGCAAATCAGCCTGCCAGAATAACGTGTTACTTCAGTAACTGGGCCATTTATCGACCGGATGTCGGTAGTTACGGAGTAGATGATATTCCGGGTGATCTCTGCACCCATATCATTTACTCGTTTATCGGTGTGAGCAATGTCACTTGGGAGATACTTGTCTTGGATCCAGAACTGGATCAAGATAAAGGCAATTTCTTGGCCTTCAACAACCTTAAATCCAAGTATCCTCATCTGAAAACCTCCGTGGCTGTTGGTGGTTGGGGAGAGGGTGGCAGAAAGTACAGTGCCCTGGTCAGCGTGAAGGAAAGACGCGACAGCTTCATCAAGAGCGTAGTTGGTAAGTAAACTTGCAAATACTCACTTTTTATTTTAACGTGCTGATTAATTCTTTGTCTTTTTCGTCATATATTTCTAATACAGACTAAGTTGCGTGAAAATAAAATCCGATGTTCTATACACTTACGTAAACAATAATTAATATCAGCTTTTTGGTACAAAAATATAAATACGAAAGTTCGATTTCGTTTAATGGAAAATGTACCTCCTATATCACTGCTATTTTTCGCCAGAATTTATGCATAAATACGGTTTCGATGGTTTCGATCTCGATTGGGAATACCCTGGCGCCTCTGACAGAGGTGGCGGATTTTCCGACAAGGACAAGTTCTTCTACTTTGTCGAAGAATTAAGACGTGCTTTTGACAAGGAAAACAAGGGATGGGAGCTCACGATGGCGGTACCAATGGTAAAATTCCGCCTAGACGAAGGTTATCACGTGCCAGAATTATGCAAGTAAGTGAATTAATGAAATGTATATCGTCGTGGTAAATAAGGAAAATATTTCCATAGAAATATGGACGCCATCCATGTAATGTCTTACGATCTTCGTGGTAATTGGGCTGGATTTGCTGATGTACACAGTCCACTTTATCGTCGTCCACACGATCAATGGGCATACGAGAAATTAAATGTGGTAAGAACTTGGCAAAATGTGGGCGTATCTTTACTCTCGAAATTTACACCTAACTTTATATCTTTGATAACATATGTAAATTTGTTTCTGATTTATCGCGTAAATTTGTTTAAAATTTATCTGTGAAATTAAAAAAAGAAATCTTACTTGAAAACTAAATTTAGTGTAAATATATGCCGTACAAGATGATAGCATAATTTGTTTATAAGATTCCACTTTTTCTTCTTAGCACGATGGCCTTCTGCTTTGGGAAGAAAAAGGCTGTCCCGCTAAGAAACTGGTTGTCGGCATTCCGTTATACGGACGTACGTTCACCCTCAGTCAAAGTAACAACAATTACGAGCCAGGCACTTACATTAACAAAGAGGCTGGAGGTGGTAAACCTGGAAAATACACGCAAGCTAAGGGATTCCTTTCTTATTACGAAGTACGATCAATCAAATATTACGTTTCTTCTAACTTTACGCTTCGAAACTAATCGAAAATATCTATCTGAAGATCTGTACCTATTTACAAGCTCCAGGCAGTAACTGGACTCAAAAATTTGACGATATTGGCAAAGTTCCGTACATGTATCAAGGTATGTATATACGTAAGTAAATAATTGATAATCCTTATCGTCAAACTAATAATCACAGGTACACAATGGGTTGGTTATGAAAACGTGGAGAGCGTGAAATACAAGATCGATTTCATCAAGGAATCTCGATACGCTGGTGCCATGGTTTGGGCCATCGACATGGACGACTTTCAAGGACTTTGCGGTGACCGCAACCCTCTGATGAATGTCATTAGTCAAGGTTTAGAAGGATATATCGTGCCAGATAAAGATTTTCATACCACCCCTACGGTAAAGAATTTTATTTTATTCTATTGAAATTGTAGACAAGATTGTCTAATTTAACAGATTAATATAATAATATATCTTTGCAAATAATTAAAACAATATCGGAATATGAAATTGTCTTTTAAAAATAGTACATCGTAGCTTGCTGGTTATAGTTATTGTTTGCTTCTTAGCCTAACTGGGCAAAGCCACCAAGTACCACGTCGTCGGATAATATTCAAACTACTCAAAGTACCCAAATTACTCAATCTGCACGACCGCCTACAACTCACAAACCTCCAGAAAGACCTACTCAGAAGCCAGAGGTAACTTCTTCCACTACGGAAGAAACAAATAAATCCGAATCCACGCAACAGCCGATAGACAATGACGAAGCTGATAAAATCAATTGTGAAACCGATAACAAATTCGTTCCATCTAAAGAATGTCACTCTGTAAGTAAATAAATACTTGTATAAGAATTTATTGATCTTGTCGTCTAGTAAATTATAAACAATTTTATCGTTTTGATAATCTCTATACATGATTTACGTACATACGTACATATGTATATATTTCTTATTACAGTACTATGAGTGTGTTCACGGAATACCACTGAAGTTCACGTGTCCCAACAAGTTAATTTGGAACGGGAGGAATAATGTTTGCGATTGGCCTCAAAATGCTGATCGAGAAGAGTGTAGAATTCAATCCTAACACTCCTTAAACTGGTCGAAAAAAAGGACTGACAAATTCCATCGTGATATTTCAATGTGGACCAAATAATCACCTCATCTTGCTAACGAATATGTGATACGCAACAAGTTGCGACTATTATCTTATTCGTTCATTTATCATAATCATATGTTGTAAGACTTGCCTAATGATGAAAATTCAATAAACATCATACCATTTATAACAAAACTTTTATAATCCAATACAGCATTTATTTACTTCATTATATATCTTTTTACTTTAAAACCATAAACTATAATTATCTTTAATCATATAATTTACGGTAATAAATAATTTGTTGTTTCAGAAACATAATTATAAATAGCTTAAGACGCCCTACATGTTCCTAATAACTTAAAAATTAAAAAGTTTTCTAGAAATAAAAGTTAACAACTATTTGGGATACTCAACGCATTATTTATATACTTATAAAATAAAGAATTTTACAAATAATATCTTTTTTATTTATGTCTTCGATCTTTATCCTGCATAAAGATTATTTAATTTCAGTTTTATATATATACCGTTTAAACAAATTTCATATTGAAACAAGATATGCATGAGATTTTACAACGTATTAATGGATTAATATAATTTAATGATGGATTATTCAACCTACATACTGGATATTCATAATTAGCTCTATTAATTTTATTAAGTAGTGCAATTATATAAGCGACCACGTGTACAATGCCATATCTTTTACGTTACTCGCGTTATAATCCAGTAAGCGCGAGATTTAAATTAAAACATATAATATTTGTATACTAGGTGAAAAAGATATAAAATCGTTCTATAAAAAAAAATCAGATAGAGGATACATACTTATAGTTACTTAGTAAAAGGTGAAAGTGGATATATCATTGAGAAACATTAAGTGGTTAACGTCCCCCTCCAATGAATTCTTTGATAGACAGATTCTCATTGTGAAGGTCGAAAGTTGCCTGTATAAAGCAATCTCCGTGTGTGTATATACGCGTACTTAGACAACTCTTAGATTAATTGCTTCGTATCAAATATGGCGCAAATGATGATACCTAGAATTGCACTTTTATCTATTAAGAATAGTAATCGGCTAATACCTCGAATATTTGTGCCGCTAAAATATCAACGATTATGTTTCCATACAAGTTGGGTTCTCGATGGTATGCAATTTATTCAGAAATACTTTATTAACGCTCTTATTCGTGATGAAATTGAGGTTAACCTGCGGTCATATATCTCGAATAATATTTATTTCAAATAACACTAATTACTACCATACAAATCATAATATTGAGGATATTAAACGAAATCATTTCTCATATTTTTTATTAACTTCGACGTGTAATCATGTATTCGTTATATTATTTAGATTGATTATGCAATCAACTATCATAGTAATTTAAAAGCCATGTTGGTTTTTATGCTGTTCAGAATATAATTTTCTACAGTATCGCAATTTTTAATTAATTTTTAGTCACAGGAAGGGAAGTCTTAATGCCTTCCCTGTCACCTACTATGGAAAGTGGTACTATTGTCAAATGGCTCAAAAAGGAAGGTGACAAAATTGAACCAGGGGATGCGCTCGCTGATATTCAAACTGATAAGGCAGTCGTTACTATGGAAGTTGACGATGAGAGTGTTCTTGCAAAAATAATTGTAGGTTTCATGTACCCAAGTTTCGGTTTAATTAATTCTATATATTTATATTTCACTTAGAAATTCTTTATAAGAATGAACTTAATATAATATTTTATTAGGTGCAAGAAGGAACCAAAGATATCAAAGTAGGAACATTAATAGCACTTACAGTTGATGTAGACGAAGATTGGAAATCCGTGGAAATGCCAGATAGTATTTCAACTGCACCTGCAGCTCCATCACCAACACCTTCTGCGCCAGCAGCAGCAACAGCAACACCTACTGCGCCAGCAGCAGCAACAGCAACACCTACTGCAAGCACATCAGCTCCACCACCTCCTGGCCAGTACGTATTCATCAAAGTGATTAATAATGCATATCATAAAAATTTTTTTAATTATTATTTCTAGAACAAATGTCAGTATGCCAGCACTATCGCCAACTATGACTACAGGTACAATTGTAAAGTGGCTTAAAAAGGAAGGAGATGAGATAGAACCAGGAGATGCACTGGCAGAGATTCAAACAGACAAAGCTGTTATGACTTTTGAAATCGAGGATGAAGGCGTATTTGCAAAAATCCTTGTACATAATTTTTATTATAGATTCAGTCGTGTTTTATTTAAAATTGGAAATATCTTTCTAAAGATTCGCCTATTAGGTTCCTGAAGGAAGTCAAGTGGCAGTAGGACAATTAATTGCCATTATGGTAGAAAAGGGAATGGATTGGAAAAATGTTGTTATCCCGACAACTACAAAACCATCTGCAGAAGCTGCTCCAGCTTCAGCGACTGCAGATAAAACACCTGTACCAAGTGGACAGTATGTATAAAAATGTTCCTATGATCAATGGTGCAAAAATATTTGCGCACAATAGCGCTGTCTGTTATTATATTCCTTTTTTAGAGTTTATGGTTTAGCTGTAAAGCGATTGTTGGAGGAATATGGATTAAGTGCACAATCGGTCAAAGGTACTGGACGAACTAATCGATTACTAAAAAGTGATGTTTTAGCGTATATTCAAGCAAATAATTTAAAAAAAGTTGCACCAAAAACAGGTATGCAAAAGCTAACAACGAAAATATTAAAGTACAATATGCATTAATATGTATGTTTTACATATTCAAATAGCAGCTGCACCTAAACTTGAAAAAGGCAGAAAAGAACCAGGTGATGTACCTTCGAAAGCACATGTACCTAGTGGCCGTCCTTCCACGTATGAAGATATCCCAGTTTCTAATATACGTGGTGTTATTGCTAAGAGACTCGGAGAATCAAAAGTAATTATAAGTTGTTTTATAGATTCACGCAACAAAATTTGGTATTTATATTTCATAAGTAACATAATAATACAGTCTTAACAATTTTGTAGAGTAATATTCCACATTCTTATGCGTTCGTCGATATTAAGATTGATAAACTAAATGAAATACGGAGCGAACTAAAGGCTGACGGTATTAAACTCTCGATAAACGATTTCGTTACGAAAGCAACCGCACACGCACTAATCGAATGCCCATTTATTAATACGTTGTATCAAAACGATCAAGTTAGTATACGATTTGACACAATGGTTGAAATTTATTACGTAAATAATTACCAAAGAACAAGGTATTTCATCTTTTAACAGATAATTCGTATGCCAAGGGTGGATATTTCTGTCGCTGTTGCTACAGAAACAGGTCTTATTACACCAATTATTTTTGATACTTCAGCTAAAAGTGTAGCAGATATTTCGCAAAATATTAAAGAACTAGCCGAGAAAGCTAGAAACGGTCGATTAAAACCCGAAGAATTCCAAGGAGGAACATTCACGTAAATAAATGAATTTATATAAAATATAAAACTGCAAATTTTATATTTCCAATATTTTTTTAGAATATCCAATTTGGGAATGTTTGGTATTAAACAATTCAGTGCAATCATAAATCCTCCTCAAACAGCAATACTTGCAGTTGGAAGTGGTCGTGAGGAACTAGGTAAAAGTATTAAAGAAATTTATATTTTTATTATTTTAGAATATGTATCGTATGTATTTTATATTCGAATGCAGGAAAAATGCAGGAAATATAACGTATCATTTTACAGATGTCGCGCTACAAAAAATAACAAAAATGTCAACAACTTTATCGTATGATAGGCGTGCAATTGATGAAGACCAAGCAGCCGACTTTTTGGCTGTTTTAAAAGCTATGTTAGAAGATCCAAGTTTTCTCGTCGCTGGAAAATTACGAGCGCTAAGATACGCACAAAACCTTTAATTAAACATTAATTCTGAAGAATTTATTGAAAAAATGGGTGTATCGAAGAATTTAGGTTTCGATGTAAATTTTAGTTTTATCTACAACATGAATTAGAAATATTGATTTAAAAATAGATCTGAAATATTTATAATTTAATTTGGGAAGTTGTAAACACAGAGAATTATATCTAAAATCATTTACAGTAGATTCAAGTAATAGATCAGTGTCATCAATATTAAATGTCATTATATCAAATGAATTCATATATGATAATTTTGTTTATTATATGAATTCATTTTTCTACTGCTGTATTCTACATTTCTTTCAAATTTTATAATTAATGAAAACCCGTGTTAAAAAATCTTATGCAATGTATCTACAAAAGATATGTTATCCCTTTTATGGCAAAACCATGAATTATTAAATTTTCACTTTTTTATTAAAGAAATGGGTTGAGTATCTTCTTATTTTCAGCCATATAAATTAAAAAAATGATTGTTATAACAAACACAGTATAATAACGTATGATTATACTCGTATTAACTTTATTCATTATCCTCAGCAGTATCAAGTAATAATTTTACATTCAATTGTAAATTTCTATAATCTATCGAATCGTACATTCACGATGATGGCATAAGACGGATAATATATGATTAATATAAAAAATTATAGGATGGTGTAAAAAATTAGAAAAAGATAAAAAATTGATATATAGATAGAAAATGAGAGATCCTTCCATCTCAAAACTAGTAAATAATATAAATTCTTATGAATTTATTTAAATTAATTACAAATATAATATCTCGGATACACGTAATTTACTTCTGCATAAGTAAATAGATAACTTCTATATGTATATTTATTCTAATAAAATAAGGGCCACACTGCTGTTACTTCTTTCATATAAAATATTAAATATACGTATTTATTCTGAGTAATAAAAATTACATTATTTTATGTATATTAATATGCAAAAATTTATATAAATATAATGTAAATATATTTATGCGTATAATGAATTTTATTTCAATATTAAGAATATTATGTATAATTGAGAACTTCAGTGTGGTCTAAGGAATTCTTGGGGACAGTAGTATGTACAAAATTATAACTATGTCTTGTAAATAAACCATTTATTGTTAAAACGATGTGATGTTTCCTTATATATATATTTAAAAATAATACATAGATATGGAATATTCAAAAACAATTAAAAATTTTGCAAATATTTTGTGCAATCATCAGTTATCTTATTATTCTTTTTATGCTGCATTATCACTGATAAAAGTATTTGTAAGGCAATTGGCATAGAACCATATGTATTGATTTGATAAGGCACAAATGTTAGGACTGTGTCTAGATTAATTAATTTTACATTAATGCTTTTGTAACAAATTTTTTAATTTATCATGTTAATATAAACATGGTTAAGCATAAAATTTATTTTACATTTGATTTGATTGATCATTTTACATACTAAATAATTGACTTAGTGAACGTACATGTTGAATTCTTACATATGATTTTATATCAGTGTTTATTATTAAGCTGAAGTCATATTAAATTATATTTAAATTGAACATGCAATACTTAATTACACAAAAGGTAAAGAATAATATGACAATATTAAATATAGAAATACAATACAACAGGACTCAGTTTTTGTTATCACAGTAGTGATATTACTGCTCAGATCTTAAACTAAGTAATTATGGACGATATTTGATTGTAGTATAGTTACAAATATTTTTCATGAAAGATATTCTGAAAATATTATATACACAATTCATAGTATTCATATGATAGAACAGCACTTTCTAAAATTTGGCATCTGCTTTGAACAGCATTAGATTTTAAACTATAAGTAGAAAATTTTCTTAAACGTTGCACATTATTAAATTTGGTGAAACCTTATAAAACTAGTTGAAACTTGTAAAAGTTTTAAAAAATACATTTTAAAATGTGTGTACGTCACATTATTTAAAATACTTGGTTATTAATACACGTGCTTGCAACACTGAATCACAAGGTATAACTTTTCATTACTGCGATACAAATTTTTTTCAAAAATGTGGACTATAAAATTTTTAATACAAAGGCAGTCTTTCTTGTGTAATTAGATAATGATTAATCAATTATAAAAAATAATATTTGCTACAATACCCCCCACTTTGTATGTGAATTGTTTGATTAAAAATGTATGGCATAACTTGATTTATTAAATTTTAAACAATGGAGGAATGCAATCCAGAAAATATAAACGGTAAATATAATAAACGAAATGTAGGATGTACATTTGAAACATCAATTGCTAAAATTATTAAATTAAGATTATAAATTAAATTTGTACTATAACTAAATAATTATTATCTATAGTATTTTGACAACTGTCAAGTATAAAATAAATTGTTATACCCTTGACAGATACTGTGTCCACATACCTAGCGATTTCAGTCCTTGAACAAACTAAGTACAATATTTTATATAATAAAAGTATTACACAAATCATATTTTACATATAAAAAATGTAAACAATTGTAAAATGGATTCTTAAACTGATACAAAACATGAAATATATTTTTAGCACAATGACGTTGACTTGTATTCTTTCTGCACCTACTGTGTTTTAAAATTAATGGCAGATTGCACCTTTTTTTTTATAAGAAAAAAGAAAATATAAAAAAGACATTGAGCTTCTACGATAGGTATTGCACATGAAATGATCATTAATAATTTACATTAATGATAACTTTTTCAATGACTGAAGCAATAAAAATTAACCTATCACATATATTGTGTTATAAAAGTTACTACAATAAATGAATAACTACTTTTTAAAAATTAAATTTTAAATCTTCTAGTAATTGTTTCATACCTATAACTTATACTATTTCTATTACAAATTTGGTAACATTGATATAAATATGGTAGGTGGTCATATATAAAATACATAAAATCATTGCACTACATGTATCTAAATTATGTGCAGTATATAGGATGCTTTTGCATTGTATAGATAATATAAATGCAATGCTACACATATATTTAAGAAACTAAATACATGTATTTGAAAATAAAAATGAATGTTTGATTTCTACTTAAAAAAGAAAAGTTATTTAGTGGAACACTTTATGAAGAATTCTTTGCGCTGTTCTTATTAAGGGTATCAGACTTGTTAATTCTGCGCAATTTTCTAAAAATGGATGAGACAATAATTCATCAGCAGTTGCCCTTTCATCGACTTCAACTGCCAAACATCTCTCTAAGAAGTTTTGAAATGTCGGACTTAAAGTATCCCATCTGGGAATAGAAGGTTTACCAATGGCAGCAATTAAGTATAAAGCTCTTAAAGGTGTTTCTTTCATATAAGGTGGTTCACCTTCTATCATTTCAATAGCCATGATACCTAAAGACCAAATATCTACTTTTTTACCATATTGTTTTCTGGTCACTACTTCTGGTGCCATCCAGTATGGAGTACCAACCATAGTTTGACGTTTTTCGTCACCATCGATATTAGCACAAAAACCAAAATCTGTAACTTTCACAGCACCGTTCATACCAAGAAGTACATTATCTGATTTGATATCTCTATGAATAATTCCCCTTGTATGTAAAAAACTAATTGCGTTTAGAACTTCTCTACAAACTGCTGCAATTTGTGCTTCTTTCATTATAGTTTCAGTAACAACATCTGTAAGTGGCCCACCTTCTAATAATTCCATAATAACCCAGAGATGTTCATTTAAAAGGTATGCATCCAAGAAATTAACCAGATTTGGATGTTGAAATTCTTTGAGAACTTTAATTTCAGTCAATATAAGCTCTTTTTTAGGCTGCTTTGATAAATCTATGTCTTTTATAGCAACTTTTTGATCAGTTTGTACATCGCTAGCTATGAATACAGTACCTGAAGCACCAGCTCCCACTTCTTTAGTTTTTTCAAAGCGAAGATTTGGATCTCCATCGTGGCAGATAGCTCGAAGTTCTTCAAAAATCTCTTCATCATTAAGCTTTACTGTTGAACATTCTGTCTTCCTTCGCAAAATGGGACTCTCTTCTGCTTTATTTTGTTCACTTTCATTCTCAGGCAACTGATCATCTTCAATTTGATATGTATTTAAATCTTCAAGAATCTCAGTAAGAGTTTTCTCAATTCTATCAGGATATGTTCGTGGTGTGGGTTTTGGAATCTTATTCACTTTTGGTGGAAGTTCGGGTAACCTTTGCACTTGACTATCCGTAGAACTTGCAGAGCTCGATCCATCAGAATCTTCAGAGTGACGTTTCTTCGATAAAATTTTATCAATTTCTTGAGACTCTTCCTCGATCAAATCTTCCGTAACAAAAGGTTTAAATACTTTTTCCTCTGGCTTTCGTTTCATAGAATAATTATAATATTTAATAGCTTGTAAAGCTGCAGCAGGGTTCTCATCCTGTTCTGATTTTGATATTTGCGTATTCAACAGACGAATCCAAGATTCGGGAAGACCTTCCAATTGTCCAGTCTCGGCATTTTTACTCACATGAAATTTATGAGAAACGTTAGTAGGTAAACCAATCTCAGCGACTGTATCAACCGGACCAGTTTTCTTCCTTGAAAATAACTTTGTTATATTAAGACTCATTTTAGCGCGCAGTTTCGCGCACTTAACGCGTTCCCTTCTACGACGTATTGCGACCTTTTTGAAAAAGATAAAAGAAGAAGAAACGGTCACTTTTAAATAGCAATTCTCATCATAATATGACTCGTCTATCTATCGACAAGGCATCAAATACGATTAAAGGCGTGTTTAGTGTGACGTATATACGTCATTCAACGAGTGGCGGTACAATTCGAAGAAGAGACACTTTAAACGGAAACAATTTAAAATTGACAATCTTAGTTTGCTGCGGCTATTTGAGATATTAAATGTCAAATAATTATAGTATACACCTGTACATATAATAATTTTGTATAAATTCAAGCAAATGACTCTTTTTATTCGCATCCCTCGTTGCACCTCTATACAGATCTGTGAATATAGAATTACTAGACGATGCATCACTTTAAGAAATGCAATATACATTCAGGAGGGAAATTTAAATTAAATGCACAAACGTTTATAGGTGTATAGGTATGTGTATATACATACATATACAAAATGTTTGTAAAGTGAAACAAGAATATTTAAATACGTTTGAAATTTCAACTTTAATCTGTTACTAAAATTAATTAACTCAATGATAAAATCTTACTCTGTACAGAGTGTCCCATGCAGGTGGAACAAGTTGTAGTGTTAAAATGGTAGAAAATAGAAAAAAAATTTCGTTAGATAAAATTAAATGGTTTCGAGTGATGCATTATTTAGTGCACTTGTCTTCTTCGAAAGTGGCGGCATTTATAAATTTCAAGGTCACCT